TGCAATCAAACACAGCCTAAAGTGCTAATAATGGAGCACATACCATTGCTAAAATAGGTTTGCAGTTTTGTTGAAGCTTTCTTTTTCGTTTTTTTTTTTTTTGGTATAAAAGGGGAAGTGTAGAAGCTCTTTATTGTGAGATTTCTAAAGTTTTAAACCCCGTTTGGCACATCTTTTCGTGCAGTTTTTGGCTGTTTACAAACCGGGCAAATTGTACCCCGGTCTTTTCCCATTTGGTTTATAATAAATCTAGCTGTCAAAAGTCGATGCGCTGAAAAGACCATTTTGGATTGATTTTAGAAAGCTCCAAGTAGAGCTTTTCGAGTCTTTCTCACTTTATTCTCGCACAAAAAGACACGGAAATATGCACGGTAGCCAAACTAGCTTCAGGCTGTTTTAGATCTTCATGAAAAAGTTCAATATATCTTTTGACTGCCAGAGCTACCAAAAGATGGCCCCAAAAAGATTTGTCAAATGGCCCCTTATTCTCAGACTTGTTTAATTAATTTTAAAATGTCTATATCGGGTAGTTATTGTGATTGATTAGTTAGTGTACTTCTAGTCACGTTGCTTTAGTTCTTATTTGTGTCCGGTGTTTGTTGTTGGTTGTGTTATATCTTGTATACCTTGTTTCTGTTTCCTTGTTGAATGCCTTTTTCTAATTAAAACAAAAAAAGAAAAAAAGAAAAAACTGTCAATCTCGATTCTCTAACGAATCCAGATCTTCTGTTCATGTTTATTACAGCCACACATGGAGAATATCTCATCCTCTTCTAATTCACAAAGGGTGATGTATTGTGGGTAGGCGTGGGCTAGGCGTGGACAAGGTCCTCATGGGCAGGAGATCCGAAGTCTTCCCGAACCAATCAAAATTGACCAACGTAAACGTCAAGCTTCCCAACTTGATCGGGGATCAGAGTAACATGGGAAGGTTGAATCACGCTTGGACCGCCAAAGCCCGCAGCCCAACACCTGGTCTGATCAGAGTTTTCAATCCCAGGACTCAGGCCCATTCCGAAACAAACAAACAAACAAACAAAAAAGTCAAGCCCAACTTGCACAAAAACTAAAATTGGGTTAGGCCAAGTTCGGGTTACACCTGCTCAGGTTTTACTGTTTTACTACATGGGCTGAAGTCCAGGATGTTGGATCAAGTGATACGAGTCATATGACCAGTTTAAGTGTGACATGAGGGGAGAAATTGTCCGATAGAATACAAATTTAAAACGGACAGCCAAAAGTAGACTACAAGCTTCAAAGTTGAGAGAGGAGTTTCATCATGTTTGAACGTGGCCTGTACATGGCCTCCAAGGGTTTAGCTTTGGGAATGGTAAGCCCTCTCCCTTCACTCACGTCCACCAGATCATGCCCAACCCGTTTCCAGTCAAAGCACTGAATAAGTGCACCCACTGTCTCCGCTACAACCCGCATACCCAAACCCTCCTCCCTAATCCAAACGGCATGAACTTGAATCCACCCTTCTCCCATTCCACACCGTGGAACCTCTCAGGTTTAAAGCTTGTTGGGTCAACCCACAGATTGGGGTCCCTATGGACAGCCCAAGCATTAGCCAATGGTATGGTTCGACTAGGAATCTCAAACCCACCGATGGTGCAATCCTCAGATGACACATGGGGCACTAGATCACTAGAAGCAGGGTAAAGCCTAAGCGTCTCGTTGATGATACAGTTGAGATACGGAAGCTTGGCTATATCAGACTCATCTAGCAACCGGCCTTCCCCAATATTGTTGTCGATCTCTTCCCTTGCCTTCAGCAGTGTTCCAGGATGATTCAGCAAAAGTGACGTAGCCCACTCCATGGTGAGTGCTGATGTATCAGTTCCCATAGTAAAAATTAATTCAACGTTTTCGAACCGCCTTTGACCCGAACAATTGGACCGTTCGGCCTGGGAATCGTCCAGGCAACCGATTTTGTTTTACCTAAAACCTGGAATCTGATAAAAAATCGTTGAAAAAGTTAATAAATCATTGACCCAGGCGGTCAAATCGTTGATCCGTTCAACGGTTTTTGACCATTTTTTATTTTATAATTTTATTGTTAGAACGGGTCGTCCATTCGAACCGGACAGTCAGACCATTAACCCAAAAACCAGTGGCTAGAACGATTCTGATGGAGGGAGATTTGGCCCAACCTCTTGGCCACCCAACACGTGGAAGCAACCGAGGGTGACCTGGCAGGAGCGACAGCTCAGCACGGCAATGCGCTCAAGGCACGAGCTCCGAGAAGAGGAACCCGCGGTCCGAGCTCCCCAAAAAGAGCTCGAACTCTCCCTTTAACCCCGACCCTTACGAGAAACGCAAAGGGCAACAACCCGAACTGGCCCACCCCAGGGCAGTTCGGGCCACACTTCTATCCGAATTCAAGACTTCACCTCGCACACCACTCCAGCACTTCGTCTCCAGACCGCCGAAATAAACAACCGTACCTGACACCAAAGGAGTCCAGTTACAGAGACGGCTCCGACAAAGAGAGCAGTGGCGGTTGTCTGCCCCAGTAGAGGTGATGACACCCGAACTGGAAAAAGTGCAGAGGTAATGATACCCGACCTGAAAGGAGCTTGGGAGTGAGTGCGCGAAGTGGTTATAAAAGGCCCTCTTCCCCCCAAGAATGGAAGTACGTAATAACTTTGCGCCATTTGGTTTTTTATCTTGCCTTTGAGAAAATACTAACTTGAGCTTCAGAGCACTCTCACCGGGTTCCTCCCCGGAGACTACTCGCTTTTTCCCCGTTTCAGGCACCACTTGCTCCAGTCAGAAAATAAGATCGTTGACAGGTAGGACCAACCGGATCGCGCTCCATCAGATTCCATTTCTGAATCGTTTTTTAAAACGTTGCATTAACTGCATAAGAACAAGTGCATTAGAAATAAAAGGTTTCAAAAGAACTTAAATAGAATGTATGGAATGAAAATTTAATAATTATAGGAGTGTGAATCAGGATACGTTTAGGACTGAAAACCAAGAAATAATTCAATGTAACCTCTTGTACCTTAAATTAATAGTTCAAAACAAAAAAAAGTAAATTGAGGATGATGCACCTCCTAAAATTAGAATTGGATGGACCGGTTTTGGATTAGAGACCCCGTTCAGTTCAAGATCAATTTGGACAGATTGGATGGGCCAACAAGACATATTGGATTGGACCAATATGGTCCAAAATATTTATTAGATTGGATTGGATCTGGTTCGTTCATAACAAATTTATATTGGATTGGTTGGATTAAGCCAATATGTGGTCCATTGATATAAGATAAGAATATATGTGTCAATGGACCGGATTTGAGTTAAAACCAATCTAAATCAAAATGAATTTGAACAAATTGGATGGTCCAGACATTGAATTGGATCGATCCAAAACATTCATTAAATTAGATTGGACCTGGTCCATTTATAATGGACTCACACTGGACTGGATCGGATTGGACCAAATCCATTCCAATTGACACCCTAAGAGGGTGCATCTTTATGTGAAAATCGAACACTATCTTAGCTGAAAAAATTATATAAGATATAATTGTAAAGTTAACCATGTTGTATGGAGCACAGTTTTGGGTAGTCAAAAAATATGTCCAGAAAATGAGTGACATGCAGAAATATGTGTACTTAAATGATGAGTACTAAAACTAGAAGGGATAGGGTCAAAAATAAAGTCATACAAACCAACTGATAATAGCTCAGTTGATAAGATCTCTAACTTGTGGGATTAGAGACGTTGGATCAAATCCCACTGCCACTATGGTTGGGGGCTTAACTGATAATAGCATTTTCTTGCTTGATTTAAATCTGTCCTTGAATTTAGTATTTCGGCTTTTTTTTTTTTTTTGTCTCATGGGGCTACACAACAGGGGTAGCCCTCCCTTAAGCCCCCAACCATAGTGGCATTGGGAGTTGATCCAAGATCTCTAGTCCCACAAGTTAGAGATCTTATCAAGTGAGCCACTATTAGTTGGTTTGTATGACTTTATTTTTGACCCTATCCCTTCTAGTTTTAGTACTGATATTTTCTTAGCCAAATAGTGTTGGATTTTCACATAAAGATGCACCCTCCTAGGGGTGTCAATTGGAATGGATTTTGTCCAATCCGATCCAGTTCAGTGTGAATCTATTATAAATGGACCAGGTCTAATTCAATCCAATGAATGTTTTGGACCGATCCAATTCAATGTCTGGATTGTCCAATCTGTTCAAATTCATTTTGATTTAGATTAATTTTAACCCAAACTTAATGGTGGCTTAGTTGGTAGGTTCTCGAACTCTCTTGGAATTGAGACCTAGGATCAAATCCCATTGCCACCAGGGATTGGGGGGTTAAGGGAAAGGGAATGGATTACCCCCGTTGTGTATCATTTTCTTGCTTGATTTAAATCTGTCCTTGGATTTAGCATTTCGGCTTTTTTTTTTTTTTTTTTTCTTCATGGGGCTACACAACTTTTAACCAGTTCTATTGTGGAACTGCATAAAATATAATTCGATAATAAGAATGAACAAATTAAAATACTAGTAAAAACGACATAATTAAGCTGTGGATGTTACAATTTTTTTAGCATAAAATACATGTATAAGAAAATTAATACCAAAACGACAACTAATAGTTGCAGAAGATCTTATTTCGGTTAAGAAAACAGAGAAACTTATTAGCGAATAGCGAGGAGATTTTAACCATGTTAAGAACCCAAGTGGCATGGGCATGGATCTTGCAAACCTTACAAATCCAGTCCAGATATTTTACTGTGCGGGACCCGCCCAATTTCCTAGATTTGTGGTGCCTGGTGCATTCGTAGGTCCCGGCAAAGGGCAAACCAAACGACATTCCCCATGTATATAAAATATTTATGCAATTTCCATGATAGCGGTAAGGAAATTGTGATGCCTGAAAATTTTGACACAATATCTATCAGAGGAATTAAATGAAGATTCCGGTAAGCAAAAAATACATGCTACGGTTGAGAGACATGGAATGGTCGCTATCGTTTCCTCACAATCTTATAACCCAATTGAAAATAATTACAGTACTAGAAGAAATTCATGATGAGGGCCAACATCTCTAGTTCTCTACTGCGTATGTCATCTACGTGTAATGTAATCCTGTGAGACTTTCCATGGCAACCAGAAGTGTTCAACTGGCCTTTCTCTTAGCTAGCTAGCCTCCCGTGATATACATACTCTACCATTTCCTGCCTGTGTTGAACGTGGAGGCCTACACCACCATTCAGTATTGTATTACACTTCCTACTTCTGCTTCCAAAACTTCATTTTGATAATTGATAGCGCCAAACCTTCCAATTCCAAACACACGTTCATCCCCTCATTAATGAATCCAAACGCAGAAGATGCAAACACACAGACGAGGCCCACTTTGAGCCACCAATTTCATTTCTTGGCATCCGTCCCTTCAAGTGGCTAAGACTCCCTCCAAGTTGGCTTTCCGTCCATCACTCGTTCTCTTTATAAATATAAAACTTCCCCCATCAGTCATCACCTCTAATCTCTAGAGATTTATTCATCGAAAACCTGCAAGCTGCAACCAACCACATATGGATATCTGGTCATGGTTATGCGACCTTCCTAGCTCAGACGATTGGCCCGAGTCTGACTCCCCACCCGTCTTTGAGCTTGTGAGCTCCAACGCCGGCGGCAGCCCAGACAACACCCCGAAATCGATTGTCCTCAACGCCCAACGAACTTCAGGATCCAACACCGAAGCTCTAGTGACCTTAACCGTATGCTTACACGGCTTCCATCCTTCTAACACTAACAAAACCCTTTGGGTCTCTGATCCATGTCCTCTCTCAGCCGACAAGCCCTTCCTTCCGCTTCTCCTCCAACTGCTCCAAGAAATCATAGCCCGTTCTCCCTCCACACACGACACCACCTGTCCTCGCTCCCAGTTACAGAGGCTGAAGCCCGAACCCATTTCCTGGATCCTCGACTCCCACTCTCCGGAATCGTTCTCCAACTTCTTCAACTTGGTCTTCCTCTGTCGCCTCTTCTGGTTATGCGTCTGCGATGCGCCCAGCGAAGTCGGCTCGCTCTACTTCAAAACCCTGTTACCTCCTAACCTGGAGGCACTGTCATCTAACAAGCACGTAATTCGGACCTTCTTGATGTCCGTAGGAGTTGACGCGGAGCTTTGCTTCATGCGCACCCTCGGGTACATGTTAGCAAAGTGGTTGATGTTAAGAGAGCTTGGCGTAGGATTGCAATCATTAACCCCACTCCCGTCGTACAGGCTGGGCTTCTCCTACGCCACGGAATCTCACGGGTTCTGGATCCTGAAGGCTTACGCCCCGATACTGTCGATGCCACGTACCTGTGTCAACGGTCAACAAGATCAGTACCCACTTCTCGAGACAAAGGAATCCGTGCTAAGATACGCTCTGGCGCACCAGCAGCTCGAGGCCGTCATCCAGCTGGAGTACTCGGTGGGGTTCTACGATGGATTTCTTCAAGTCAATGCGCGTGTCGATAATATAAGATTCCACGTTGCTAAGTTGGGACTCAGTAAAAACGACTACGGGGAGTACACCGAGGAGAAGCATTTCCCGTCGAGGATCCGCATCTGGGTCGGTCCGGAGATCGGTTCGACTTACGTGGCAAGTCTGAGCCTGGGGCGGTCCACTGATAACCCGGAGAGAGAAGTGGAAACGCAGAAGACCATGCACGGAAGTTTTGGAAAGTCGAAGGTCCCAAAGGTGAAAGCCAAGGCGACGTCGTCGGCGAGGACAAGAATGAGGAACTGGAGATGGGAACAGGACGCCGACGGGAACGCGGCGGTTTTCGAGGCGGTTTTGTGTGACAACGTTAGCGGAATTGAAGTGGCTACGTGGAAACCGGCCAAAGGTGGGAATCCAGTGAACGGTTTACGGAGGCGGTATTCGGGGCCGAATAGACCGTTCAATAAATCGGGCGGTGTGATATTCGCGGGAGACGAGTACGGGGAAGGTGTAGGGTGGAGACTGAGTAAGGAAATGGAAGGTAGTGTGTTAAAGTGGAGGATAGGAGGGAAGGTGTGGCTGAGTTATTGGCCTAACGATCTGAAGAGTCCATACTTCGAGACGAGATGTGTGGATTGGTGTGATGAAGTTGATTTGCCACTGATTCCGGGGAAATAGTTTAATTTTAATAGGCCATTTACTATGGATATAAGACTGTGTAGAATGTAGTCTTAATTCTTAAAGAACTAGAGTGATAACCTATGGCTTTATATATACTGCATGCTTAGTACTTGCTGTAGATGTGCAATGAAGTGAAACACTTTTTTCTTAGTCAAATAATAAGATATCCAAAAATTAATGTCACATTGACACAATCTGATATTAAGATGGGATGAAAAATGGGTAAATAATATATAATAAGAGATGATTTAGGGAATTAGGGCTCGATTTAGTGTGAGCTTTTATCAATTTTCAAGTAAATATTTTGGAGGTAAAGTTAATATTTCATTGTTGTAAAATGTTGTGGCAATCGTGCAATTGTTCAGAACTAACCTAAATCATAAGCAGTTCAGGGGCCACTCGAAACATGAGAAGGATGACCAAGTGAGATTATAAATCCTTCAAGGTTTTCTATGTTCTATCTAGGATGATGGCAAGTAAGGAATACTGGAATAGCTAGGGGTTCAACCCATATTAGTTTAAGTCAGCATATTATATTTTTCCCCAAAAGTTTAGCCTTTTACGTCCGGTCCATTCAAACTTTGATAATAGCCCAACCCAAATCAAGTTGCACTCTTAGGAATAATGAGGTGGTTGCAACTTGCAAGTAGGGATGGGCTGGTCTGACCCAACAGGCCCGATGGACTTAAGCCGATTGGGTCAGTTGTGGTTCTAAGAATTATAATTGATGAATCAATATTCAGTTCTTGATATATTGCCTGAATTATTATCAGTTTAGAATTGATTCTATTTATTATAATATATATTATATATAATATTTTCAGCGGATTTATTATAATCAGGACTGATTGTCTTAAGAACTGATTGATTCAGTTCTGTGTTTAAAATTACAGATCTTGCCAATCTTAGTTGCAAGGTTAAGAATGAGGAGTTTAGCGTTTGAGCACTCAAAATGAATTCTAAAAAAGAGTAATGCTTGATTATAATTTGTGGTTGAAGGTTTGGGCATTTAATATGAATTTCATAAATGCAGCAAACCTAAAGAAATTAGGATGGAGAGTATTGATATGAAATGAGAATCTATGGGATTGTTTAGCAAAAGCAAAATACTTAAAAAAAAAAAGTGATTTTCCACCGGCTCCGATGCCAAAAAAAAAGTCTGCATGGGCATGTAGAGATATTTGCAAACCAGAAGAGAGGTCTAGCGTGGAAGATATGAGATGGCAGGAAGAAGGAAAATTGGAGTTAATACTCGAAAATAAAAGATGGAATAGAATCAAAACTAATAATGAAGCGAAAAAAAATCAAAACTAAAAAGATATTTTCAGATGAAATAGCCCAGTGTATACACTATACAGTCAATAATCCTCCCCTCAAGGAAAAAGAACATAAGATGGTGTGGGGAGCAATTACAAATGGGGAGTTCTCGGTTAAATCGGTTAAGTCAATTTATGATTGCCTAAATATAAATACGAGGCTAACACAAATGATCGTGTCATGAGTTTTAGCAAGAAAATTGAGAAAGTGGAATGCCAACCAAAAATAAAATTTTCTTATGGATATAGCCATCAGAAATATGCTCCCAACAAGGGAAAATTTATATCACTAAGGCTTGAACTGTGAGTATGTCATCCATAATGTTTATTTGGTGGAAATATGGAGGGTAGTGACCAAAACTGTGATATGGCCATGCAAGCTTGGTCACTAGTAAGAAATCAAATCCCAATTTCCAATGATCTAAGGCCCTGTTCACTTTTAATTAAGTTACTTATTCGAGTAAATGCAATTATCTGTGCAAGTTTCCTATGAAGCACTTATCCAAATAAGTATATATATCCATGCTCTTTTATTTTCTAAGTAAAAAAAAGGAAATAATCATTTTAACCATGAAAATCCATCATTAAAAGGGGCATTTTTGTCCCATTCAAGTATTGGAAACTTTTCCCTGGTGGGAAAAATATTTACCCACCTAGGAAATGGGTACCCAGGAAAATAAACTTTCCCTGGTCCCCACATTAATCTGAAAAAAGAACATGGATTCTTGGTCAATGGGAACCAAAATCCCATTGACCAACTTCCCCCCTCTCAAAATCCGAAAAAAGAACACCCCCTAAACCTTACATCCATCCTCGATATTGATGGGATGAGATCAGGAAGAATAATTTGGATAACAAATGTGATTCGATATAGGAAAAGATAGCATACATATATATTGTGCTATGTATGAAAAAATAGAAATGACATGTTTCAATAATAAAAACTTCAACCCACCACAAATAATCATTAAAGCCCAGTTTGAAAGGAATACAAGTACAAATACAAATATGTAAAGTGTAAAACCTTGTATTTTATATGTATTTGTATTGTACATATTTGTATTTGTACTCCTTCCAAATTGAGCCTAAGGCCCTGCAAAGCCTAAGAGAAGTTATATAGACAATAAGGTTGTGTTTGTTTGAGGTGTAAATTCAAATTTTACACCCATGGAAAATGAGAACCGATTCAGTAGTCGATGGAAATTGGGACCGCTTGTTTTTGAAAAATTTACACCAACCATGTTTGGTTGTCAAGATGTAAAATTCAATGAAAATATTTTGAATGTTGGTTACCCTTGCAACGGTGAAGACAATAAGCTTGAACATTGCAACAATGAAACATCGAGCTTGAACAATGGGAGCTCTTGGCGGCTGAGAGGAGGTGCAAGTACAAGCAGATTTAGCTTGGTGGAGATGAGAACTGGAAAAAATATAAAACAACTGAAACCAAAAAAAAAATATGTGAGAAAACACCATTATGAGATCAAAGGATGGTGAGAAATGAAACCATGTAATTAGATCGGACAAATGGTGCAGATCTGAGGCATATGTTCCTCAGATTGGAAAAAAAAAATGGTGGAAGAGTCATACCTGTGTTGTCACTGAGAGGAGGTGCGAGCAATGAGTTGTCTTTCCACAAATCCGCTCCTCAGATCGGAAAAATGGTAGAAACAACTTTTTACTGTTGCAGTGGCTAACAAGAGGTGCGAGCAACAAGTTGTCATTCCTTAAATATGCTCCTCAGATCGGAAAAAAAATGGTGGAAACGCCCTAATCAACTGTTGCAGTGGCTGAGAGGAGGTGCGAGTAATGAGTTGTCATTCCTCATATCCTCTCTACTCAAATTCGCTCCTCATATTGGAAAAAATGGTGGAACTGCCCTAATCGACCGTTGCAGTGGCTGAGAGGACATGCGAGCAGTGAGTTGTCATTCCTCATATCCACTCCTCAAATCGGAAAAAAAAAATGGTGGAAACACCTTAATCGACCGTTGCAATGGCTGAGAGGAGGTGCGAGCATTGCCTTTTACACTGATAGAGAAGACAATGAAGTTTTACATCGACTTTATCGGTGATAACTTTCCATCGATTCTCGATGCAAAACTCACCCTAAGTGGAGTTTTACACTTATTTAAGGTGTAAAAGAACACCTAAAACAAACATGTACAAATTCGAACCGAGGTGTAAAGTTTATCCCGGTTCTCATTTCCACCGAAAACAAATGCGGCCTAAAGAGATTTGGCATGAGAAAAAGAAAAAAGGTAAAAATTAAAACCATTTGGATTAAATGAACTCCCAGCAGAAAACACTATCAAAATTAATTTTGATGCATTCAATAACATAAAAGGCAGGCGTGCTTATGGATGCTTAGCCAGAAACTCCAAACGGTGAATTGTTAAAAATGACTACAGGTAGCATTGGTGGTACTTCAAATGTGGGCTGCATTGAAGGCCCATAAACTTGCCTGAAGTTTTTGCTGAATCACATGTAATACCAAAAGAGATTCAAAGACTACTATAAAAGTTTTTAAGGATAATGTCATACAAGATGGAGATTCCAGAACATTCTCGGGGAATGCAAAAGATTAGCGAGAGAAGCCCAATCTCCAAGTCCAATACAGCTATGTTCATCGCGAAGGAAACCAGGTTGCTGATTGATTAGTAAATGAAGGCACCACTAACTGGCTGGAGTCGTCGCATCAACCAAGTGGGAACTAAACTACCTGGTTGTTCAAGATGCCAAAGGATCTCAAGTGGGAATTAATTCGACCGTCCCTGTCGAATAGGTCAAAATGTCAAATTGCTAAAGCAATAATATCACTTAGATAGGAATATCAATGTATTGGCTTTCAAATGGGAACATACGGGAAAAGAAAACCTAAAAATGTCGATATATCATGTTTTTGTCTTAGAATGAAAGAAGAGAGAGAGAGAAAGAAGAGGAAGAGGAGGCAGCTTGTTTTTGTTGTAGATGAGGCCATTGCCACGCAAGCACCCACCATTGTTCCCTTCCCATTGCCACCGTCATCTATGTCTTGCACATTTTTGACCATCCATTTGACTAGATAGTTTAACTAATTGACGTGATATGTTAAAAATAAATTAAACATAAAAATGCTGATTTTTTCGCACACTTATATTTTGTATTATTTTGTATGTATTTGCATAGGATATATGTATATTTGTATTCTTTCTAAATGGAGCCTTATTGATCTATTTGGTATTAATTCTCAATGGCCAATTGTTTATGTATTAAAATTATTATTCAATGTCATATTGGACGCCATGTCATCTTCAAAAAATTGGAACCATCTAGAAATCATAAAATCACCAAAAAAATATCCCTGAAAAGGGCTGGTTTCAAGAATCAATTTTTGACGGGTTTCTTAAAAATCATCGAAATCGGCCAACCAAATGGAAATTTCAACAATAACTCCTCTAATACTGATGCGGCTCCAACATGGTATAGATTTTCAAAAAATCATTACTCATGCCAAACATCACCCAAGTGAATAAAACCAATAAATGTAGAAGAGGGTTGTTTAATAATTCATTAGATTAACGGGACAGGTTTCACTCTTCTCCCAAAGGTGAAACAAGTTGAACGGTCAAATAATTGTTCAAGTCAACCATAGTTTAAAAGCATTGTTTTTTGAGGTAGGGGTGGGTCCAAACCAAACTATTCGCAAGACATTCGAGCTCAGTTCAGACCAAGCTTGTATATTTATTTTTTAGGGTAAATTATACATAGGTACCCTGTACTTTGAGAGGTGTGATAG